GGGGGCTTTTTTTCCACCGGGTTTTTTTTGGGGGGCCTCCCCCCGTTTTACAGGGGTCCATTGCCTTTTTTTGGGAAACCCAAAAAAAGGTTTGTGGTAAATGGGGGGGGCCCGCAAAGGGCCCCCCGGTTTTTTTTTTGGGGGGGGAGGGCCCGGGGCCCCACCCCCCGGGTGTTTTTTTAAAAAAAAATGGGCCCCCCCCGGGTGGGGGGGGGCCCTCAAAAAGTTTTTCCCGGGGGGGGGGCCCCCCCGCAAAAAAAATAAAAAAACGGAAAGGCTTGTGGGGCCCCCCTTTTTTTTTGTTTCCCCGCTAATTTTTTTTTGGCCCTCCCAAAAGGTTGGTCCCGTCCCCCCCCCCCCCCCCAAAGGTTTCGGGCAGCCCGGATTAGGGGTCCCCCCCCCCCCCCCCCCATGCTCTTCTTTTAAATTGCTGTACACTTGTATATGCATATGCCATTCCTGCCTCTGCTCCTGGCTCGGCTGCGGTGCGCTTCAAGAATGGTTTGGGCGCTCTCTTATCGCTCTGAGAACGAAATATCCAAAAAATGTTTGTTTGCCCCAAGAAACGTGGTTGAAGAAAAGGGACGAGATCACCACAAGACGGCAGCTCGGTCGGAACGGTCAACCTTGTGGTCTCCAGCCTGGTTGCTGAGACGAAGGGCCGTGTGATGCCTACGCAGGGGGTGCAAAGAGGAGGAAATGGAAACTGCTACCAAAGAGAGAGGACCTGGTCTGATGAAAGGGAGCCGACAGCAGTGTCGGTCACAGCAGTCAGCAGCGCGGCATGCAGCTCTGCCGTTGTTGTAGGAAAGCGGGCGTGCTCTGTTGTTGTCTTCACATTACCCCCACCCCCCTGCTGCTGCTGCTGCTGCTGCTGCTGCTGCTGCTGCTGCTGCTGCTGCTGCTGCTGCCCACGCTGCTGCTACTGCCCGTCGCAGCCGTCGTGGACGGGCGATGCGTGTGTGTTGCGTCGGAACACGCCACGATCACGGAAGCTCCCCGACACTTCGAAGCCAGGGCGGTGATCGGCGCTTCCAGTGGGGACTAGTTCTTTCCCCTCTCTCGCTTTGCGGTCCGTGTGCGCTCGAATTTTGCAAGGAGCGGGTGTGGTGGTTTTTTCAGGACCTAAATCCATCAAACACAGAACGCGCGGCAGCAGCAGCAGGCAGCAGCAAGCACCCTTCCACTGAACACGTACAACCAACGACACCAACACGCACCCTCACCTTCTGAGCCAGGGCGTCAAGGTCGCAGTCGATGACCACGGCCACGGGACCCATGCCGTTGGGGTCATCCGCGGGCGATGGCTCCACCAAGCTCACACCGTCAATCTTCATCTTTTTCGTTCGGGTTCCTCGCTCAAGCTCCGCTCCTTTTTTTTCGTACCACAGCCGCGGCAGACTCAATATCGACAATGATGAAAATTCCTGGTCCTTTGGTATCACGCACACAGCAGGGACACGCGCGCACACAGGGAAGACACCGGTCTGCTCTCTCGGGAAAGCAACAGGCGAGCCTTCCGTCCAGCGGCCGTGCCCCACACTGAACAGCCGAGCTTATAGCAGCGCAGGGGACCGGTGCGTGATGGCGTCGAAAGAAAGCGCCCGTCGGAGACGGGGGTTTCGTATGGCGATGTACTGGCGTTTTTTTGGCGTTTCAGTTTTTCTATTCTTTTCGCGGGTTCTCTCTCGAAAATAGTTTTCTCGTTGACGATCTTTTCTGTGACGGCGGGGGGCGCGCGGGGCGCGTACGTTGCATGCTTCGCGTACTGCCGCGCAGAATCGGAATACTGCAGTGAGAGCTGAGAGAAGCGACGAGTTGAGAGACCGACTCAGCCCTACTGCAGTAGCAAATAGCATTTCTTGCCGCCGTGGAACAGAGGGCCATCCAAAGCTTCAGTATTGCTTGAAGATGCTCAACCACAGGTTGGTGCTGCTTCCTGCCGATTCCCTTTCCTGCGAGACCTCAGATGTAGATACCATACGTTTCCCCCGCCGTACAGCAGTATTTATGTACGTACAATCTTCCTGCTGTTTAGTAGTCTATGTACAGTGTGTAGTGCCCTGGACCACCCAATCAGCGCTAAGAAGTGGTCTACACTGAGGGACAGCTCCAATGATCTACCTGATGAGTGGTGTCGAAGGTACTAGACTAACCTCTTCAGGCTAACAAAATATATGCTCTGAGATGGTCGGGTCTGTTAGAAAAAGACTTATCCACCACATTGTATGCTACTCAGTCAGCGCTGACTGAGTACCGGTGCCACCCTTTTGCGGCTTGCGAAATCGGTAACTCTGGCACTCGTGGCCCAGTTTCGGATGCGGAGGAGACACTGTTGCTTGTTTCTCGGATGACGCGGAAGAGCGTAATGCTACACAAGCTGGCGTTGAATGTAGCTTGGCTGGCGAAGGGGACGGTGTGCTTTGTATTGGAACAAAAGCGGTCGTGGTTGCGTGCTCGCTTGTTTTTCTCTATCCACTGCTGCTGTAGTCTACACACTAATGTCTGCATTAGGCTGTAGTCTACGTACGTAGACCAAGTACATGATTCACGTTGTACCGAACAAGTGATTTCCTTGGCTCCCCATGTATGTACATCCCACAACGATAGCAGCAGGCAAGAATCGAGCGTGAAGAAAGATGCAGGGACAGACCTTGTGGACGCCGGTATGTTTCTGAGGGGATGCAGGGAACCCTTGGAACAGTACCGCGAGTGCCTCATGAAGAACCTCAAGGATTGGCACGGAAGGTACAGCAGTACTACGGGCATTTTCCCGTCCCATGCGGGATGTCTGTACATGTATAATAAGTTTCACAATGTGCAATATGTACCCCCTGAGTAGTTGCAGGCTCGATTCGTCCACAACAATAGTAGCAGAAGGCTCTACATGTAGTGGGCACACATTCACGGGGGAATCAGTCATCACCGCACAGGGCCGCGTTGGGCACGTTTCGCCAAAAGCTCCCGGGGATGTAGTGTTTGATCCTGCCATCCTCTTCACGGTGAAGCTACAGTATCAGACTTGATACGGAACGCACCACGCTACTCGGCTGCACCTGGCCGAACGGCGTGGAAATTTACCGCCTGAAGGCCTGCCAACAACCAGGCACAAGAGTTTTCTGGCCAGTGACGTCGGTATATTCGTTCGAGTCTGTATCCCAATTGTGGGCTTCTTCAGTTTCAAGGTATCCTACCCTCCGCGACAGAGCCCCTACCTCGGGTCCACTTTATTGCCTAAAGCCTTCCTCTCGACAAAGCACCTGTGGAGATGGATATCGAGAAAGCCGTGGCCACTCTTGTCTCTTTATACTCACTCCATTCCAACCATTTATTGTCTTGTGTCACCGCGATGGTGTTGACATCAACGCCAGGCACGGTTGGTACACAAACGTAGAGTTTTATCTCTTTCCCCTTTTAACAAAAACTCCGAGATAGAAACGTGACTAATGCGAAACACGATGACAGAGGACACGGTTCCGCTCCCTGCGCGACTTCCAACTGCACTCATGCCCCTGTGCCTCATGGCCCCAGGGGACTCGTCCGCCAAAAGCTATCGGCTGTGAAGATCCACCAGCTGGGGCAGATGAACATCACACGGTTCGACCACCAGAAGGTACGACAGACAAGTTTGTTTGTTTGTTGACTAATTGACTCAAATGCTACAAACGCCATTAAGGTGTTGCGTCCGACGGGGTGGCGTGTACGGCCGAGAGGTAGTGAGCACACAACTGCAGGTGTTTCAGGCAAATCTGCAGACGGGAGGGCCCCACCTCGTCTTGTGAGGGGGTGCCGAAAGAGGCGGAGATGTGGCACCCCCCCTAGACCGATTTTTCACAGCTTGGTTGCTCCAAACCCAAGTTTGTGCCAGCACAAATGAGGTGGTTTTGGAAACATCTCCCCGAGGGTTTTCGGTAGAGTGATCGGGCTCTTTTTTCCGCAGCCCCTTCGTCGTGGAGCAATCGAGGTTTGAAAGTCGGTCTAGGGGCGGTGCCATCTCGCCGACTCCTGATGTATACGGCTCTGGAGGCCAGAGTCGTTCTCTAGGGGCGGTGCCATCTCGCCTACTCTTGAGGTTGACGGCTCTGGAGGCCAGAGACGCATCGCCCTCTTTGTGCCGTACTGCTTAGAAGGGTTCCCCCCGGCAGGTACGGATCGACTGGCGTCACACCTGTTCTCTCGCATCCCTACCTGCTTCATTCCGACTGTACTTTCCATGGATGCAATCACCCCGGTTGTTCAGCGACTACGGCATGTACGACCATGAGTAACCCCCCCCCCGTTCCCTGCCGCGAGGAAATACGCGGGCTCGACTGGGAAGGCCGATCAACACTGTTTTCGTTCCATCGATGATAGCAGCAAAACCGGACAGAATACTTAGAGAGGGAGGTTTACCAATGAACAAGCCAACGGATCTACTGTAGCCCGTCGGCAAAAAGTGTTACGAAGTATTATGCTTGTTACCGTGTTTCGCCTGTGGCCTCATTGTCGCTACTGTATACCCGAGCTCGTACGCCGACGCTGAAGCCGAGGTTCAACGGCACCTCCCCCCCCCCAAGCCAAGCGGGCACACCCCCTCCTCTCACGCCTACACACGCTCACCCTCGCGCAATAAACACTCCCGCTCTCCGTACCTCGTCGCACGACAACTGCGAACACAAGAACTTCGCTGCTACAACCCCCGATACCATGACACGACGCACCCCCCCTCGGCGCAGCTCATCATGGACCGAATCCGACACCTGTCGGACATCCCCTCGATGGCGAGGTACTCCGTCGGCAAGGCCAACGTCGCGGAGGTAGAGGCGGCCGTGCACGTGGCACCCCGGCGGAAAGGGAGCAGCAGCAACACAGGCAGCAGTAACAACGTAAACAGGGTGCTCTCCGGCGATTCCGTCTCCTCCGGCTCGTTGGCGGAAAACGCCAGCCAATCGGACGCGTCCATGTCGGGTAAATTCTGTGATGCGCGAAGCGTGCGCCTGGGGTTTGCGGGGGTTCTGGAATGCATGCATGGGTTTGGTTTGCCGGTCGTCTTGTGCTACCCTCTTAGGAGCACCCGTCGAGAGCGAAGCGCTCGAGCCACCGCGCGTGTTGCACCAAGGGTTTCAATGACAACGCCGTGCGTGCACACTCAGTGATATAGCAGCAGCGTGCCTGTGCCATCTCTGTTTAATTTTTCGGGGCGGCGTTCCTACACCTTTCGGCATGCACGTGTTTGGAAGCACCCATCCCTGGGTCACATGCGTTGCAGCATAGACGGGGGAATGGTAGTTAATCCGGCCCTTCGGAAGAGGATGAATCAGAACGCGAAATACCCGCTTTTTCGTGGCCCCTCTTTCGTTCTCCCCTCCATTGCGCCCCGCCCCCCTGATAAAATCGTGCTTGGGACAACCACAAAAAAGAGGACACGGGCGAGGGAGGAAAAAAGAGCAAGGGTCATCACAGGCGGAGGTCGACGCGACACGGTCTTGGGGTCAAAGGAGGCCGGCGGGGAAGCTTGGCGATCGACAAGACCTGGGAGGCCATCAACAAGGTGCTGCAAGAGGGTATCAAGCATCGCTTTCAATTCTTGTGGAATATTAGTTCGATAGAAGGTAGGGCATGGCTGGCAACGGTTCATACGTACACCGCGAAAATCATGGGATGGATGGTGACGTGCCGTGTGGAGCCACGAGACGTTAGCCATTCGCCCACTACTGCTGCGCTTGACAGGATTGGGTCTATTGTCCTGTTTGCGAGGCCGCAAAATAACTCTGATCGCAATGACCACTTAGCTATTGCCGGCGAGAATCCAAGTTTTCGATGTGACTTCGGCAACACCACTAATTCGGGAACGATAGGAATTGATACTTGTATGAAATACATGCAATCACAGAATGACTGCCAGTTCCAGAATATGACCCAATCGAAAGAATGTGTTGAAGTCTTTTCACTGAGTGCTTCCAGCGCAGATTTGAGTAAAGTAGGCATTAGCTTGTTGTAGCACCAGCACAACGACCAACACCATCTGGTTGGTCAAGATTGTCGCAGATCTCAGTGGTTCACTTGAAAATTCTCTGGCGGGAGAAGCCACCCCGCCATCGGCGACAAGAGGGAGCGCCTCAACCACGGTTGTGGCACAGCTTTGCAGCACGTCTCATTGATGATGTGATTGGATGCGGGGCGATTGTTGACAGTCCCGGGCAGAGGCCGACGGCGGCGTGAAGCAGAAGCAGCTCGACACCATCCGTCGCAGGATCTCCAACGTCGGGACGCAGCCGCCGGAGCTCAAGCCATTCAACGTAAGTTGTGTCGTTGCAGTCGAAGGCATTTTTACCACCCCAAACCGGACCGACGGCATTGTCTGAGCCGTTTCATCCGCCCTAACGAATGAAACGGCCAGCGATATCCAAAGGTCTCTGCTGCAACATAAAGCTCTACCAACAGAGCAAACTATAGGACGCCAAAGCCCAGCGTTTGACGTAGTAGTGCCGAATATTGTCTAGGGAACCAAGCACTGCGCCCTATCCACGAAACGTCCCAAATGTTCCTCTTCAGACCCCTCACCGCTCGTAGTCATTCGGTTTCTTTTTCTGAGGGTGGTCATCCTCATGCTTCTTTTCGGAAGTGTCCAGTTTCGAAAGCGAAATTTGTTTTCAAGTGGTCGAGACAACAAAATGTGACCGAACAAGCCCCCCCGACCCGCCTCCCCTACCTCCCGGTTTCTCCCTGACCCCGTTTCTACATGAGTCTAGAGAGTCGGCGGTGTAGCCGAATACCAACACCGCAAACATGCGCCAAAGAAGAAAATAATCCGAGCAGGTCAATGCCTTGGCAAGGCGCCCCCACACACCAAACCTCCTATTTTCTGTTTCAGGAAACCCGTCCGTTTTAAGGCGCTCGCCGGCCTCAAAAAACATTTTTCGTTTGTCGGCCTGTTGTTAGGCTTGCTGTCCACGACGGACCCAAGCCTCTCTCGCGTACTTCTTCATGCATGAAAAACGCCTGTCGCTCGTGGTGCTCACGTATCCTAGGGCGCAGTCTCTCAGACTCAACACTTCAAATCCACGTTTTGTTTTTGCGCTCTATTTTCTTATCTGTACGTGCGTGCTAATTTGCACGCAGCCCGCGGAATTTGCTAGGGAGCAGAACCAGGCTTCCAGCAACGACTCTTCGCTAGTAGGAAGCAAGGAGAGCTCGGATACAAATGTGAGAGGCGGAACGGCCCAGGTGCTGCGTCCATCGGGTTCCAACCCCCCCCATGGCTTGTAGGAAAGGCCTATCCGTAGCACCGGCAACGCAGCCTTATTTTCTGGCCTGGTCTGAAACGTGGGGGTGGGGTTCAATGATTCAGAGGCTTCAAAGTCACGCCACGAGAACTGTTCATAGATCTACGACCTCACTAGAACCGAAGAAAAGCGGGTGGACACTGGCCCCCATTTCAAACGGGAACAGCGGAAATGTGGTCCAATGCAATCAAGAGATGAGTACTAGGGGGACCCGGGGGTGGTAGAATCGAGATCGTCTTGTCGCCGTCTTTGGGGCCGTGTAGGGATAGTAGCTGTCCGCAACGCTTCCACCCTCCTTTGTTGTGCAGCGCGTTCGATGTTTCCAAGTCTTGGGGCCACGTTTTCCACGTATCGAATCAGCGGGGTCCATGCGGCACGCGAAGCGCTCAAGCCTGAGAATCGAGATAACCCAATTCGAACCTATGAAAAGCGTTCCGTTTTATCACAAAGCTTCGAACGTCGCCATATTGTAGATTGCGGACTGATGGCCGTTGTTCACTCCCTCTGGCATGTCTTGCTTGATTCCATCCTGGTTTTGGCAGGGAGCCTCCAAGGGAGCAGGACGGAGAGAGTCGCTCTCGCCCAACGTACACGACAAGGCTCGGCAGGCCAGGATCGACGAGGCCAAGGCGAAGAGGCAGCGCGCGTTAGAGTACGGGAACAGCGCCCTCAAGGCCACCACGCGCGAGGGCCAGCTGAAGGACCTCAAGAAGCAGGTGGGGCAGCAGCTAACTCTACACAGCGACAGCATCTGTTGCACGTCGTGAAACGCGCGTTCTTGTGTGTTTGTCGTACGATAGAGCCCCACAGTTGTAGCGCTATTGAATAGATTGTCTTGAATGAAACGAACTTCAGCAAAAATAACGTACCACGACCAACGGAACGATACCGTGTAGCACGGAGTTGCACCAGCCAACAATAACGTTCGGTCAGACACTTTGTGAACCTGCGTGAGCATATTGGAAACGTTTTCGCACGAGCGGCATGGAACGCCGACGGCACGAAGCGAAATATGAACAAAAACATATAAGAAAGCTGCATGATAGCCTCGGCAGCTAATGCGGACACATAGCTACCAGATAGCCAGTGACTTCGAGTTTATAGGCCATCTGGGTGCCAGATAAACGGAAACCTTGTTACATGTGAGTGAAGACGATCTTCCTCTCTTTCTGATGGAAATTCCCGCCTCTCGTGATCGCGGACCACCATTTATTCTGTGTATGCAAACTGTTGGAGTCATTGTTGAATCCACCCCGAAACTTGGTCGAATATTTCTGGGTCCACGTCGGCACCGTTTTTTAGGCGGACACAGGCGCGGCGGTATTTCAATGTGGCGGTACTTTTTTCGGCGGATCCCGGTACTTCGTTTTCCGGCGGTACTGCCTTTGGCGGTTCCCGGTACTGCCAAATATGGCGGTATTTTTCTGGCGGTACTGAAGTATGGCAGTACTGCCTTTGGCGGTTCCCGGTACTGCCAAATATGGCGGTATTTTTCTGGCGGTACTGAAATATGGCGGTACCGCCTTCTGCGGTTCCCGGTACTGCCAAAAATGGCGGTAGTTCTACCGAAAAGGAACATGACAGAACCAAAAAGAAGAAAAGAAAAAACAAATGTCGCACTTTTATCTATTTTTTTACGTTTTTTTTCTGCTGAATATGACCCAACGAATCCCTCTCTATCTAAGAAAAGAGTCTAAAATAGGTTAGCAGTGAATTCAATACATCGTATGTAGAAAGAAAGAGAAGAAAAAGAGAAAAAGAAAAAGGAGAAGAAGAACAGGACGCCCAGCGAGATTTGAACGACCGTCTGTCGAAATCTATCCCCTCTATTCACCCCGACACACCACCTGCCACGAGCACCCTCACGGCGGATATGTGTCACGGCGGTTCGATTATGGCGGTACTGGAGTACGGCGGTACTAATCTCGCGGTACTGCAGTGCGGCGGTACTTTTTCGGCGGTACTGAAATATGACGTTTTTTTTTAGGCGGTTCCCGGTTCTTCGTTTTTTTGGCGGTATTTTTTAGGCGGTCACGCAATATGGCTATACTTTTTAGGCGGAAGGCGGTTTTTCGTTTTCGGCGGTACCGCCTTCGGCGGTTCCAGGTACCACCGAAATGTGGCGGTAATTACCGCCAGTACCGGGACCGCCCACCACGGCGGGAACCCCCCCCCGGGAATTTTCCCGACGCGGACCCTGCAATATTTTCGTGTACCCCACTCGCTTGGTGGTACGCAGCACGCCCGTGCCCGAGTTCCTCGCACGAGAAAGCGTCCCACTATTTAGCCCTTCAGCACCCATACCGACGTCGGAAGGGTTCAGTTCGAGAGGGTATACGAGGCAGTTCTCGCTTCTCGCATTTGGCGCGAGTAGATTTGGTACGTTGCGCCCATCTCATACCCCAGATGTCGATTCGGGTTCTTCAGGGAGTTACGCACAGCCACTTGCCATCTTCAAAAGGTATTGCAAGGCGACCCTCAACGAAACTAGTAGTACAGTAGTACCCGTTCTACTGCTGCTCATTTTGCCATGAAGCGGACGAAAAATTTGCTCAAGGCGATGAAATCAATGCCAACCTAACGCAGATTCTCGCGGACTTTGTGAGCACCATTGGCTGCGACCGCGCCACGCTCATGTTCGTCGATACGCCTGCCCAGGTAAGCGGAAACAGTTGGGGGGCTGAGTGGTTCAGGTGGTTGCCTCGCCTTACCTTTGCGCTTTAGGTCGTGAAGTTGAATTCCCCTGGAGTGAACAAACTCGCAATATTAAGCGAAAAGCGCATCGTCTTGAGTACACACAGCCAAGAGGGAAGGGGTAGCTGAACCCTTCCGAGAAGAAAGTAGCCGCGGGGGGAAGATAAAGAGACGACAGAACAACGAAACAAGTCTCCTGTGTCGGACTTCCTCCTGTCTGTGTGATCCAGGCTGGTGTATCAAACATGTTCCGATAAGTGTGTAGACAGGCGGCCTGATTCTGTGATACGAAGATTTCAACAACAATTATCCAACCGAAAATCCAACTGGTGGTGTGCACAAGAACGGAATGGGCAGATACACCGAAGTCGAGCCTGCCCGAGCCTGCCCATTCCACTCGCCCAAACGCATGTAGCACAAACTCACCACATTCCCAAAGAGCAGCACGGTACACAAATACGCGAATATCCAGTCAAATCCCACCTCTTGCGAGACAAATACATATATATGAGCTTCTGAGATGAGAAGTCCAGCAATAGACTACAGTACCAGGTTCCAAGAACACAGTCCAATACCGTCTTACGCCCCTGCCCCCACCACTCGCTAACGTCGGCTCTCCGACACCTCACAACAGCCACCATTGGAGGTCCAAGTTACCGACGAATACTTGGAACTATTTTCCCTCTTGCCACGAAAAGGGTACGTCCACGCACATCAATGACCTTTCCAAACCCCTTTCTGAGCTCATAGGAACTCTTCTTCTTCGACGGGAATATGCGGATCGCTTTCCCCCTTCGGAAAGGCATCGCCGGACACGTCGCGGCAACGGGCATGGGGTTGGTCGTTAATGACCCATACAACAACGAGCGCTTCAACCGCCAGGTATGGTGCCAGTTCGTGTGACGACATCGGGCGATGTCTCTATCGCCATTCTGAGCATTGCATCACACGTCATTGTGTATTTTTCAGACCTGGGTGCTTGTCCTGTCAGTGCATCGCTTCTGGTACCTCGCGGCGTGGTTTCAGACAGAAAGAGCGAGTCTCCGAGGCAGCAGTCACGGTGTATATCTCAAGCGGGGCCTTTTCGCCGTTCTAGATGAGTGATGCTCGTTTACCAATCTTCCCAGATGAGGTAGACGAGGTGGCACACCCACGGCGAAGTGAATGTTATCGCATTGTCATGCTTTCTCGTGCGGCTTGGTTCTCGAGGTGTCATCCTTCGGAATTCTTCCTTTCGTTGTGGTGGCAGTGCGTGCCACTCTAGCCTATCATACACCCACAACCTCTTCGCGAAATGACATGTCGAGTGTATGCCAGCGTTGGCATTGGGGATGTTGGAATGTCCTTCGGGAGGCAGATGTCTGAACAAGGCTCGGGTGTTTAATAAGAGCCGAATTTTCACTTTCTCGGTCATCGAGCAATAGGCTCGTCTCTGTTTGCAACACCACGACAGGGGAGGAATCAAAGCTCCGATCAACGTTTTGCCAAGGTAGAAATGAAAGGTTTCGATTTCCCTCAAGAAGTTGGATTGCGACAAGCTGAAGAAACGCGGTTTCAGAAGGGGACAAGCTGTGACCAGGGGGACATTGGCGATGGCGCACGCGTTCTTGGATACGCTATGGGTACTACCGCAGAATCATGCGTTATGCTTCCTGAGAAGTCATCTTCAACGAGCGGGACCAACACGAGAGAACACAGAAACAGCGGTTCCCAAGACGTAACCCCCCCCTCCACCTTCGTCATGGGTAACGATGCGCCTGCTCTTCTTGGCTTGGTACCTCAGAAAAAAGTGTTTTTTTTGGGAACGCATTGCCACGGGTGGCATTTGTCGCGTTTCCAACCCCTTTAGTAGGGGAATACATTGAAAATAATGCGTAGGACGACCAATGAAAAACAATTCTCGTCGTGGGTTATCCCGCTTGTCGTCACTACCCAGGTTGACAAGGACTCGGGCTTCGTGACGAGAAACATCCTGTGCGAGCCCATCAAGGTGAACCCTCTTATGAACATGAGCGTGCATGTACAGACCATCGTCGACGGAAGACACAAGCGTTTCATGAAGGATGCCCTCTTTTTTGAGAGCTTCGTCACCGGTCGCTTCATCTTCTTCATGTTGACTTGTTCTACGGCAGCAGTGAGGTGACGAGACGCGCGCTGGATCCCCGTTGGAAAACGAAAATTTTGGAGTAGTACAAAGTGCAGTCCCTGCAATACTGCAATACATTCCACCCTCACTAACGTCTAGGCTCCAGCTCCGCCCTCCGAGAGGGAAGGGTGTCCAGCGAGTGTTCCATCTCTAAACGATTCTCCTTCAACGAAATCACGGCAACAGTAGAGGGGGCGGTTTGATTCGTTACCCTGATAGACGCTGCTCATTCTGTGGTGTCTGGTGTTTCTTCTACGTGGTGCCGCCGACTGCAGAGCGGTCGTTTCACTTGTGAGCGAATTTCGCTGTCGATGTCCGGGCCCTCGGATTCTTCGATTGTGCAGAAAACGCCGGTCCTACGTAGCATATCTGCATCCCGTAACCGGTGGGACAAACGTTCCGCGCTTGGAAACCGAGGATTGATGTTGGCGCGCCGGCAGTCGTCGATCGGTCCGTTAGCCAGACAAGCTTTACACGAGTGTGACCCCGGCAGACTGTTCCCCGATCTCACTTAGACGCCCTCTGCCAAACTACTCACCCCCCCGTCACTGTTCCCGCCCGCTTCATGCCCGCTGCTGCTCTACCCGGCTTTTGTCGCCGCCGCCGCCGCCGCCGCCGTCGTCGAAATACGCCTGGGGTCCGGTGTTGTGGGCGGGATTGGCGGTGGTACCGATGTTGATGGTCTCAATGCTGGTGTGCAATGCCGCCTTCGAATACTTCCGGGCTGGTGGGGTCTACCGTTGCCGGCGACGGTGACGCTGCTGCTGCTACCGCCGCTGGTTGGGGCTTTGCTTGACGCCGGCCCTGCTACGTACACGCCGTTGGGTCCCGAATAAACGGACGGTTACACGAAAACATTGAAGTCGCGGAAGGGGGGCAACGTCGTGGCGGTTCTCCAGATGGTCAACAAGAAGGACGGCGAGGACTTCAGCGAGCACGTAAGACAGTTCGTAACTCGTTCCCTTCATGAATGAACCACACGGGGGGGTAGAAGAAGAATAAGGGAAGTTAATTGTTGGTTGTTAAAGAGTCCTATATCATCTAGCCTTTCTGAATTCTAAGTATCGATCTTGGCGTCTATCTCCTCGTCAATTGTCCGGTCGGAGGTTTCGCCACACACTCGCAAGAGTCACTACCGGTCCCTCCCCACATCGACGGCGAGACACACTGATTCATGTTTCGGTTCGCTGAGGCCATGGTGATTTCGCCGATAAGCCGGCCGAAGCGATATTCATTGACAAGACGAGGCCTTACGCACGTCACATACGGATGAAAGAAGTCGTCAATCCATTCATCCCTGGATCCGTTGTCGCGCCGCCTTCGACGTGAAATTGGGCGACCCCCCCCCCCCCCCACTCGGTGTTTGCCATCGGGATTGGGTTTTCGTCGCTTGGCAACGACGTTGTAAAACAAGCCAATTCACTTCGTGAACTCGGCAACCAGGTTACCGTTTTTTTTTTTACCTCGTTTTTTTTTTTGGCGGTAACCATAATGGTGGTCGAGTAGATCATGTTGTGCGGGCGAGAACCCTCACTCCGCGCAGCGGGGGATGATCGCACCACGTTGTGTTAAAATGGTCAAGCTTCCTCGAGGCAGTTACACAGTGCTTGCAACTGTCTCTGGAAGTGAAAGAACCAGAAAATAAATTAAGTCATGCGTAGCTGTCATCCGTACGCAAGGAAGCAAGCACAAGATGCCGAACACCCTTAGCAGGATGCAGCTCACCCTTCATGCGACTCGCCAAATACCTCACGGCGCTTCGCGCTTGGTGATGTGAGAGCCTGGTCCGGTGAGAACCCGGCGTGCTCCGTCCCGGCTTTGTAGGGATGCGAGGTCAATGGTCAAACGACTACGGCATGCGCGACTATGAGTACACCCCCCCTCCCCCCCCCCTCACCTTTGGCAACGTAAGAAGGAACGATTGGCCATCAGTGATTGGTCCTGTGGGAACAACGTTCCGTCCTCCTGGGGGCGCGTGGTCAATGGCCCAGCCGCAAAGGCATGCACAACACGAGTACGCCCCCCCCCCCCCCACCCTAAAAACCAATATTTTGCACTCTACTCCCCCCCCCCCCGCAGGACGCGGGCGTGATGGAGATGTGTGCGGTGAAGGTAGCCCTAGCCCTGGACACGTCGTTCGCTGCGCTCGTGTCCGCCGAGAACGAGTGGGCGAAGGCTGCAGGGCGCCGGCGAAGCTCCGGCAGCGGAAGGTATTTGTCGCCCCCGCTCGTTCTTTGCACCGTGAAATTGCACCTAGGTGTAGACCCCCTGTGGTCGCCCATGACAGAGCAAGGTATCGAAGCACCGGCGGCGTTTTTGGACCTTGTACCCATCCCCCGCTCGACCAGACGGGAGTTGGCCGTGGTTTTCATTGTTGCCAAGCTTAGCCAGGACGCTGGAGGATATGTGTCCGCCTTTGGTAGGCCCGATCTTTCGCCCTCCACAGGGCTGACGGAAGGAGAAGTGAAAATCGATGGACTTACACTTCCGCTCAGAACGTGCACGGTCGCGGTAAGGCACGCAAATATGGCGACACCCCACACACGCGATCAATACTTACATGTATGCAGTGTTGGCTAGCAGTTTGATGCCTTGCGAACAGATGTCGGGTCACCTCAAACAATATCAACAATATCAACAACAACACCAACAGCCGCAACAACAGTAGCAACAACAGCAGCAACAACGCCGACAACAACAACAACAACAACAACAACAACAACAACAACAACAACAACAACAACAACAACGCCGACAATACGCAGCAGACGAGACAGCAGCATCGACGACGGCGAATCCGTGCCCACGGCTGCCGAGGCCGCCGCAGCCGCCGCGAGCGCAACGGCCGCAGTCGCCGCCCAGAGAAGGAGCGACGACGCCGATGCGACAGCAGGAGGGGGGAGGCGAGGCAGCCTGGGAGGCCGTCGGGGTTCTGCGACGCTGTCGGGGCTAGGGGATGATGGGCTCCAAGAGGTGGGGGCACGGGTTTGCAGGGAGGGCTGATACCGCTCGTGCAATCGATCGAAGACGTCACTTCGAAAGGTTGGTTAGCGTGGCTGCTGTGGGCATCTTTTCGCCTTGCTTTGTTTAGTTCGGATGGGTGCTGGGCGTGTTTTTTTCTTGGGGGACGTGAATTCCCAGTCCACGCCATGGGAGGTAGACAGCGGTTGACTCCCAACAACGCGCGAACGTGTAGGCCTCTCGTTCAATCTAGCCAAAACCTGCGCCTGATTCCGATGTAGCCGGTGCAAACGTGATGTGCTCTGGGTCAACGGGTGATTTGGTGGGCATTGTAGCGGTGCTAGGTCGTGCCCGTGATGTTCACTGGTTGCTCAGTCCACAGCGTTTACGGTTTCTTCCGTTCCGCCACGTTCTTCCCATTCCGCCGTCAACCACCCGTCCATATGGAACAACGGAAGCAGGTGCCGCAGATCTCCAACCGGAGGGGGAGTGGGACGTCGAAGGCGGACGTGGAGAAGCTAAAGCGTCGAACGGAGTACGGCAAAGAGGTACGCGACGCAGGGCGGCACCCGGTGATTGAGAGCACATGTTTTGCGGCCTTTGCAGCTCGTGTCATAGTGATGTCGTTGTTGTATGTGCTGAAGTCGTCGTCGTCTCAGACAGCGTGGCGTTGTTCGTCTTGCTGTTTCTTCTTCCCGGTTACAGTCGAAACGTTGGGCGCCCCGATGCCCGTACGCCTTGGGGTAATACGCTCGTCGTCAATGTTTGAATCGCTCGTTGTCGCTTCCCGTCATTGGTACCGTCGCCGCCGCCGCCCGTTGCGATGAATACACCGTATGAGGGCGAAGGAACCGACCGCCACCGTTTGGGCGGTCGACAATTTCGCCCTCATAAGGTGTATTCATCGTAACGGACGACGGCGGCCACACAACCATGATGACCGTGCACGACAACGAGCGGTTCAAACATTGACGGCGAACGAAATACGACAAGGTGTAAGGACATCGTTGAGCTGAGACGCCAAATATTTCGGCTGTGACCGAGAACCAACAACTATCAATGAATCAATGAACGTTCAGATTCATCACGACGCGAGCGCACAGCTTGAACGGGCCAGCTTCCTCTCTTGGTCGTTGATTCGGCCGACGATTGGAGGGTTTCGGGCGCAAGACGTGACCTGGTACACGCGTCACCAGAAATAAATGAATCTCTTCAAATCTTTCGTGCGTCAGAGGAATTCACTCTGCTTTGTCTTTCTCGTCTTGCACTCTACAGCCGTCGCTCATCCCCCTCTTCGATGCTACTCCTCTGTCGCCGGACTTTACACAAGGTTCGCGATAGCTCGGTTGGGCTTCTGTGAGGGATGGGGTATGTACTCGCCCACCGCACGATCAGGGTCTCCGACAACAGGGCAAACCTCCAACCTGCCCTACCCACCGACCGGTCGATGCCTCATGCCTGGACGAGGTTCAAGGTTTTCCTCCTCGAGGGAACGCGTTTGGATGCGCCACGAAGACAATGAAGAGGAACGGTTCGTTACCACCATGAAGGGCCAAGTCGCGCGCGCTCTCCGTTTTCTAATATTGAACGTCTGCCTCGAGTCACTTCGCCCTCACGGTCGGGCACCGTTGATTTGTTGAGTGTGCGTCGACGACAGGCCCTGCGGTAGATAGTACACCAGTAATACCAATTCACTAGAGAGACGAACCGTAACAGTTCTTCTCCAGATCATCCTAGTTAGTTCAGTGCGCTGTGAGAAACAGACCCCTTACCTATCATCTACATAGCAGAATAAGTTGCGGGTGCGTACATATGTACTATAGCTTCGAGAGGTGGAGGCGTTCAGACCGAGGTCTTCCGTGTAGCAGAGGGCACGATCTCTGAGGGCTCTACACATACATTACGAGGGCACAATTCGAGGCTTCTTTCTTTCTTCGGCATGTCTACAGTAGTACTAATTATAGATACTCCAGCCCACACACAAGTGGGTAGCTTTCCCTCTGCAGTGGCTATTTTGCCATCATTCACTTGTCGTCCACGCGCGAGGGTTCAACAGTAAGCAGTCTCTTCCCTCTTTCATTATTTTTTTGAATTGTGTGTTCTCACGGTGCTAAATCCTCAACCAATCGATGTGTAAGAGGTCACAACATTACGAGGTTTCCCAATGAATCGCAAGGCAGGGCGATCAGCTCCTCTGCATGCTGTCCTGATAGGGAAAATAAATATCGATGTGTTAGGTGGCGAACTTCTATCTCACTACTGTAATGAAATGGAAAATATGTGCTTCGAAAGTACTTTTACTTCACGTCCGTTCGGGGAAGATACACACACGCATTACAAAAAACGCTTCAGCGAGTGTGCGCGTTTGCTCGAATTTTTCCTCGCAGTTCGACGACCACCTGCAACTAATGTACTATCCATTGCAAACACGTGTCCAAACTACCATGTACCATAAAATTGCACACGACAATGCACATGCGAATACTCACGAATTACACAACAACAGTCTACACACAGGCAGACACCACGTTCAAGCAGTCGCGAGGTAGCATCTGCATATAGATATATTTGGATAGGATGGGTGCACAAGGAGTGAATGTGCAATATATAGTCTACAACAGTCACATTTTATGTTGTGTGTCCGTCGCCGGCTACGCATTTGTCGCTCCGACGCATGCATATTGCACGCAGCAGCCCCAAGCCAGAAACACCGCAACAACAGCAGTAATGGTAGGTAGACAATCGGAGCCTGTCAACACCTCGGTACTCTCTATTTTGTCCTGCGAGATGCGCGCGGCGGTGGGGGTTAGGCGGGCGACTCGAAGAGCCAAAAAAGTGTGAACATGATATTATTTTGTGTATTTATTGTATGTCACCAGCAGCAGAGAGAATGTAGTGTAGGCCAATATATTATATCTGGCCTGTTTCGTCAACACCTTTCAAAATGGAAGGTTGCTAATTTGTGTTCGCGTGCCTCTCTGGGCGTGCCTCTCTGGGCGTGTATATCTGGGCGTCTCGCTCTCCTCTCCAGAGTACCACGGATGTTCGTGGTGTTTGAATTACCGGTAAAGGGGAAATTTGTGATGTTAGCTCGCTGCTGTTGTTGCCCCGCTAAAAACAACGCCATACATAGTCTAGACTACAAAGCAGAGCAGAAGGAAGGGTGAATGGTTTGTATATGATCCCTACTGCCTTACAGAAGTGTCGTGGAGAAACTTCGTGGAGAAAGGAAAAACAAAGCCTTCTCTTCCTCTCCTTTGTGCGTAGTTCAAGATCCTACTACTCCGGCTCCTCCTCGCCTGTGTCCCAGCTGTGGTGCTGTCGATCGATGTACTGATGTACTGGCTCGTGCGTCTCCATCTCGGATCTCATGTTATTTTTTTCTCAACGAAGCGGGATCGATCGGCATATATATTTTCAGTTGCGGAAGATGAACATTTTTTTCGCAACGAATCGCGAAAGCGGCACAACTGGCTACACCATTTTCACCGGACACCCCCGCTGGAGGGCGCACACTTCTCAGGCGCAGAGACCAAACATGTAGTACCCCCCGTCCCTGGCAACAAAGCTGCGTTCTCTGTCGGTGATCTACTACTCTTCCTCTCCCGACCTCTCTCCGCTGGAGAGAAAGATCCTCAACCCGGCAAAAAGCCACGCAAGCCACCCAAAAGGGCCACCCAAGGGGGTAAAGGAGCCGGGTGGCCCACGCCAGATCGTCTCATCCTGGGATTTTGCGCTCTGTTGAGCATACCGGGGCTACAGCTGTCGCCGCCGCCGCCGCCGCCGCCGTTTACATGGGGATCGCGCGGTTGGTGATCGATGCCCTCATCCTCGTCTTTGCCTCGGCATATGCCTTGATCAGCCTTGGCTACATAGCGACCATGTGGCACTTGCGGAAGAATTTTTTCATCGTGCTACGGTAAGAGTAATATCACATGAGTATATACGGTTTGGGCTCAACAGGCAGGAGTCAAACCAACAGCAGCGAATGAATGGGGTTTGGGTGTGTGGTGCTTGCTTGGTGTGTGATGGCCGGTTGCTCGGTCGTCGTCGCGTTAGGCCTTTCTCGGAACCCATGGGAAGATATTTCAACCAATGTGGGTTTGATGCGTTGATGGATGTGGGTTTTGGTGCGTGATGGTTTCGAGGCGGAAGCCTTTCGCCCAAGTCTTGGGGTCGGAATCTTAATCTTGCATCTCTAGAGACGCTCAAGAAGAAGACGGACGCGTCCTGTGTGTCGACAGTCTGGCTATCTTCTGCTGTCTTCTACGTTACACGTAGTAGAGCCGAATGATAGCGAACGTCCGGCCTGATTCGGAGCTTGCCGCCGATAATATATGTATGTGTGTGTGCACGGGTATGTCTTTTTTTTCATCGACCGCGCTAACCGGTTGAAACGCAAAATAATGCTTCTGAAGGCCACGATCTGGTACCAACCTTGTGACGGATGGGCGAGTCGATGTATGCTGCTACTCTCCGGATTTAAGACAGATATCGTATCTAGGAATAACAGAAGAACGCAGCACATGTTTGCCATGGCTGCTACTACTGTATACTTTGGATACGCGATACATGTATGTGCGTTTGGTGTGCGGTGCGTGTTCGTCCCATGTATGTATTCTGGTGCCGGTTCACAGGCCTTTCGGCCTGAAGACCTGACGCATCATCAGCCGTCGTCACTCAAGAGGAAGGGCGCAAATGAACTTTTTTTCATTTTGTTTGTTTGTTTAAGTTTGTTTGCCGCACCTTTCCCCGTGTCGTGCCCGCGGTGCTTGCCTGAGGTTTGATTGCCGAATAACGACTTGCGCTTATTTATTACTTTTTTATTACGGTATATGACACAAGATAACACACCCCCGGAACCGATTTCAAAGCTCGATTTATCAACAGTAGAAAGAGCTGTAGCGTCGAAAACGGCGGCATTGAAACCGTCTGGTCGACAGCTATCCTAAAATGCATTGTTTCATTTACGCGTCCCCTTCGTCGTGAAGAAATCGAGCTCTGAACATCGGTCCAGTGGGTGTGTTATCTTGTGTCATACGGTAGATTCTATGTAATCACGATCCTGACAGCGGGGAAAAGGCAGTATGCGTGACGGTGGTGGTGGTTGGTACTATGCGTGGTACTGCTGTACGGCTCATGTTCGATGTGTCTGGTACTGTACACAGAACGCACCAACACTACGAGACACAAGACACATATCTTTATGGGGAAAGAGTGTTGGGTGTAGATCTTTTAGGCCATTTCTTGCGGTTGTCTTTTTTTATGATCTTTTTCTTTTTTCCTTCTCAAAAAAAGACAACTGGCCGTAGAAGGTCTTCTTACAATGTCTTTTTTCCTCAAAAAAAGATCGCCAGAAAAAGGCAACCCGTTTTGGACAGCCCATCCTGTCTTTTTTTGGGGGCAGTTTTGGACAAGTGGAGGCTGTCCAAAACTGTTGTCTTTTTTTGGTCACAACCACATCACTCGTACCTAGAAACTTGAATCTCTCGACGGCCTACCGCAAACTCTAACGGCGGTCACACGAGTTGTGTCATGTTGCTGGGGTACAGAGTCGGTGGCACCGGCGGTAGCCAATGTTTTTTCAGTGGGTTGGACCACGTGGACAACCCGATGTGTGCGGCAAACAAGAGGCAAACAAACCGAGAGAGCCTGGACGCAGCAGCGGTGGGTCATTTTTCGTGTACTGTCAACCTTGCGAACCCAACTTTTGGGCGTCCTATAGCCTCCTGGTCTGTATCAATAATCACACAAGACGAACCATACGCACAGCTCGTGGCGCATGCCTTTATCATCGCTGTTGCTTGAGTGGGTGGCGAGGGAGTACTGGCAAACCAAAGTTGCGACACGGGCAATAGAGCGAAAAAAGTTGCTTGAAGATGCGGCGGATCATTTTTCCCGCGTGTCCACCACTCTCGCGCTCACAATTTCTGAGCGTCCTATAGCCTCCTGGTCTGTATCAGCCACCACACAAGACGGACCATACACACAGCTCGTGGCGCATACCTTTGTCATCGCTGTTGCTAGCGTGGGTGGCGAGGGAGTACCGGTAAACCAAAGTTTTGACAGGGGCACAAGAGCAAAAAAAATGGTTGCTGGCGCGGTGGGCATTTTTTCAGCGTGCTGTCGACTCTCGGCACCTCCATTCCCGTGCCTCCTATCGCCTTGTGGTCTCTGTCAGCCGCCACCCAAGACGGACCATACACACAGCTCGCGAGGGATAGCTTTACAGTAGGCACTGCTTCACTCTGTGAGGAGATATCACCGAAAAACCATTTCGGTGGGAAGATATGTGTGACAGCAGCCGTTGCAGAGTCTGTTTTTTTTTGGTCGGTGAAAAA